CTCTTTCAGGTTTTCTATATAGTATCGTGTCATCTGTAAACAGTGCAAGTTTGGAGGTCTTTTATTTCTTTTTGTTGTCTGATTGCTGAGGCTAGGACTTCCAGTATTATGTTGAATAAAAGTGGTGAGAGTGAAAACAGTAATGTAGGTTCCTCAAAAAGTTAAAAATAGAGCTACCCTGTGACCCACCAATTGCACTACTAGGTATTCATCCAAAGAATACTAATATAGTGATTCGAAGGGGCTCATGTACCCCACTGTTTATAGCAGCAATGTCCACAGTAGCCAAACTATGGAAAGAGCCCAGATGTCCATCGACAGATGAGTGGGTAAACAAGATGTGGTGTATATATATGGTATATATAATGGAATAGTACTCAGCCATCAGAAAGAATGAACTCTTGCCACTTGCAGTGATGTGGTTGGAACTAGAGTGTAGTATGCTAAGTGAAATAAGTCAAAGAAAGACAAATACCATATGACTTCATTCATATATGGAATTTAAGAAATAAAACTGATGAACATAGGAGAAGGAAAGGAAAAATAAAATAAGATGAAAACAGGGAAGTAAACCGTAGGAGACTCTTAACTCTAGGGAACAAATGGAGTGGCTGGAGGGGACGTGGGTGGGGGAATAGGGTAACTGGGTGATGGGCATTAAGGAGGGCACTTGATGGAATGAGCACTGGGTGTTACATGCAACTGATGAATCACTAAATTCTACCCCTAAAACTAATAATACACTATATTTTAACTAACTTGAATTTAAATAAAATAAAATTAAAAAACGGCGAGAGTGGATGTCTTTGTCTTATTCCTGACCTTAGGGGAAAAATTTTCAGTTTCTCCCCATTGAGTATGATGTTCACTGCAGGTTTTATTAGACCTTTATTATGTTGAGGTATGTTCTCTCTAAACCTATTTTGTTGAGAGTTTTTATCATGAATGGATGTTGTACTTTGTTAGATGTTTTTTCTGTATCTATTGAAATGATCATATGGTGTTTATCCTTTGTCTTATTGATGTGATGTATCATGTTGATTGATTCACAAATATAGCCTTTCTTTTAAAAGTTACCTTAAATGCCTAAAGCCAAAAGTAAAATATATATACCCCCCACCAAAAAAATACACTTCTAGTTTTTGCAGATTGTTTGTTTGCAGATTGGATGCTTAGCTAGGCTTTTATTAATTCTGCTTTAGCTTTCAGTCCCTGAATGAGTGGAGCATGAAGTACAGCCAGAAGTGAAAGACTGGGGTATTGTATGGCCCTTTCTGAATATGCAACCCATCCTGAGCATGCACGTGGAATTCTTGATTTCCTGGCATATGCAGGAGCTTTTAAAAGGTCTTTCCCCCAATTTCTCTCCTTTTCCAAAGGCTTCCTTCCCCACGTTTTTGGTCTTTCTATTGTTTGCCCTCGGTTTTGCTCTTACATGCTTTTGGCAAATGCCCAAATGCCCCGCCTTGCTCCACTCCCTCGGGGAGTCACTGGACAGATCCAAACACACATCCTCAGTTCCTTGTGAATAGAGTCTGCATTGCTCCCTCTGGCACTAGCAACCTGCACCAGGAATTCATAGTGCTGTCTTCATGACCGCCAGCAATCTGGAGAATGGGAGACAGTAAGCAGGAAATTTAAAATGCCACAACACTCTCTTATTGCAGCGGAGGAGCTTCTTTCTTTATTATGCTTTCCTCGGGTTGTTGTAAGTTTTTGGCCAGATTTTACACTTCACTGTGGAGGTTGATTCTGACAGTTTTGCCAGTTGTTCTTGTGGAGCGACAGAGCCCCGATGTCCCCTATTCCACTATTTTTAGTGACTTTGCTGCTCTCATTTTCTTAAAATTACTAATTTGTACTCATATAAAGAACTCAGTCTCCTTTAGATACTGATTTTAATAATATATCACTCTAATGCATATGTAAACAGGAAAATGTAAGTCAGCTATATTGCTTAAGATATTTCTACACTTCACATTCACTGCCTGCCTGCTCTGAACCACTTTTCAATTCAATCTTTGATGTTTGGGCTTTCTACACAACACTGCTCTCTGTTCCCCCTGGAGAGTTTATGATCTAGAACTTTTTTTTTTTAAGATTTTCTTTATTTATTTGACAGAGAGAGACACAGCGTGAGAGGGAACACAAGCAGGGGGAGTGGGAGAGGGAGAAGCAGGCTTCCCCCCGAGCAGGGAGCCCGATGCGGGGCTCGATCCCAGGACCCCGGGATCATGACCTGAGCCGAAGGCAGACGCTTAACCGACTGAGCCACCCAGGCGCCCCCATCTAGAACTTCTTAAACTACTTAAACTACTGTCATCCCCAGGACTTCACGCCAAGCCTGTGACACCTGTATACAATCAATGACAAACATCATAACTGACACACTGGCCAGTAGTGACGGTCATATGAATCCCAATTTCAACAAAATATGAAGAAATATACATCCAATAATTGGCAGTATGTGGGATGTATTTTTCTTAGAGACCAGATGAGGAAATGATTAATTTGGCTAACATGGGACACAGAAAGCAACAGAAAAACACCATTTTGGGAGGGCTAGAGAGTTGATGGAAGGATCTGGCCAGCCAAGCAGTAGTGGAAGAGCCCTGTCAGCAGAACCATCAGCATCACACGCAGGAGACCAGGCAGGTCTCTCGGATATTCAGAGTTGAGTCACGTGTCAGTTGCTTGTGGTAGGAAATGGATTTAAAGAAGTGGGCAGTGGAAGGTTCATGCTTGGAAAGTGAAACACTATTGTCTTGGCCAAGGACTTTTCAGAAGATTCTGAGGAACGGAGTAATGTGATGACATCTTCCTCTTCAAAGATCTCTTGGAGGCCTTGTGAGGAATGGATTGCATGTGGAGGACAGATTGTGAGATCTGTGGCTCTGTGGGTGAGCAAGTGTGACAGAAGTGCCATCAAGGGGGTGGCTGAGGAGCTGGGCTGTGGTAGGGAGGAGGGAGACAGGATCAACAAGTGTAGGCTGACTGGGGGATAAGTCCATTTGACAGGTTGGGAAGGCAAACCACTTCTCCTTTGTGTTCTTATTATTGGGAACGTGAGCAAATATATGGCAGGTTGGACAACTGACCCACATAATCAAATACCTGTTCTCAGCTCTGGCTACTGTTTAATCTGGGGGCTCAGTCTCACAAATTACAGAGGCTGAAGTGAATGCAGAAATGTTTACCTATCACAGTAGGTTTTTAATAAAATACATAGAATTTAACAGCACCAGGGATGTAACCCCAATGCACATGGACCTTGTGTTGTTACTATGTTGGCCCTTGTCTTGCCTTTTCAAAATTAATACATTTGGAATAAGGTTTATCCAAGAAAGTCTGTATTTGTAACCTCACTATTGTCTAACATAAAACACGTAAAAATATACCGTGTAGTTAAAATTAGCCCTAAGGGAGGTTAACAAAATATATAATGTGATAGTTGAGAATAATAATCTGAAGAGGGCACTAAAGTCAGCCAAGTTTCTTTCCTCTTCAAACTTCATTTTTACATTTTAGATAGCACTGTTCACAAAACATTTGTACTAGACTTTAATTGGGAGGAGACCTGTTCTTGTTTCACATCTTGTGCCATATGAAGTGTGGCAAAATGATCCCTCATTAGAACTGAGTTATGGTCACTGTGTTATGAACCTGTGTTCATAGAAGGAGGAAACCCGCGTACTAGAGCATACTGAACATTTTAAGCATTTTCAGCCTCCTGGATTTCTTTTTTTTTTTTTTTTTTTTAAGATTTTATTTATTTATTTGACAGAGAGAGACACAGCGAGAGAGGGAACACAAGCAGGGGGAGTGGGAGAGGGAGAAGCAGGCTCCGAAGGAGCAGGGAGCCCGATGCAGGACTCGATCCCAGCACCCTGGGATCATGACCTGAGCCGAAGGCAGTCGCTTAACCAACCGAGCCACCCAGGCGCCCCCAGCCTCCTGGATTTCTAAAAGACTGATGTGTTTAGAAAGTCCACAGGCAATGGACTTCATCTAACATCTCAACTGTGCTCAACATAGATGTGTCCTCATAAACATGGGGAATCTAAAGCCTCCAATGTTTTACAGGAATGCTTTCTTACTTGATGCCTTCCTTTCGGCAGTTCTGCTCAGAATACCAAAAACTCAAGAAGGCTCAAGTAATTACTTGAAACAGATCCCTAACAATGAGAAATGATGAACAACTCAGTATTTATCTTGAACAAATTTATAGTAGAGCTAGGAAAGGGCAGAAAGTAGAGATTTCAAGAACTGACTATGAACTACCATCAAAAAAACTAAACTGTTTATTATTTTTAAAAAAGTAATTTGCCCTAAAATGTCACCACAGAGCCATACTTTGCTGGTCTATGACCTCTCCTTCTGGAAAAAGGAAGAAAATATTGAAATCTAAAAGTGATTATTAATTAGTGCATAATACATTTTAAAAATGTTGGCCTAGCATCTCTTTCAAGCTCAATCCTAATCTGATATCTGAATCTACTAATCTCATTGAAGTTTTATGAGAATATAGTTCCTCTCTATATTCATTTTACATCCTCTAATTGATTGGAGAGGGCTTCAGTAGTGTTTCTATGGGTTCCTAAATAAATAAGAACTAAGAAATTAGTCTGGGTATGCATGAGCCCACACTACATGTGTCACTCGGCTTTACCCTTCATAGGAAATTAATCAGTAGTGTAACATCAACACCGTGTGCCCTCTCCAAGCAATTCTAAAGCAATGGGTTTGTCCTTGTAGGAAACCTATTAAATATCCATAGTACATCATTAAGAAATTACCTCTGTAATTGACTGCAGAAACTCCGGTGCAATTTGTGGAGCATTAGGTGTTTGGACATAAAATCTGGTAATGAGAAGCCTAAGCCAAGCATAGATGTGAGATGGAGGCCATGTTTGAATAGGGGCAGTGATTTAATAAATGGAGTTGACCAGAAATGCTCCAAATTTAGGGAAACTTAATGAACAAAATCAATCCATACTGTGTTTTCATGCATTTTACAGTATGAAGAGCTAGCAATTTAATACTCTATCAGAGCTGCAAGTACAAATCTTCTCTTTCTCCTAAAGACCCAACTGCTTTAGATTCAAAAGAACTTCTCCGGAATACTGAGCGGAGAAAAAGAGCCCGAAACTAAAAATAGAACTGGAGCAGGACACCGCCGCGAGATGGCACTGCTGTAGAAGGGCTAGAAGGGACGTCAGCGCGTGGGGAGCGCGGGCCCTCGGGTCCGCGTTGCTCTGCGGGGTTCCAGCCGGCCGTCGGGCCTGGTCGGGCTTGCGCGCGCTGGAACCTGTTGCTTTTAGGGCGGCCGGCAGCTCAGACCTGTGTCGTGACTCCTCTCCCATTTGCTGCGCTTCGCAGTCCCTGCGGCCTGGAAGTTCCAGCTGCGACGCCGAGCTCTGACCCCCAGGGCCTTCGACCCAGATGAGACGGGCCAAATCGGGCCCCGAATTCCTGGAAACGTGCGAAGCAGCAACCCCCCCTCCCCGCGCCCTCCCCGCCGCCCAAGCCGCGGACCAGGGTCCCCGGGACGGGAGCCGTGGCTGGAGAACGTAACCAGGCTCTGTCCTCTTTGCCAGAGCCACCCTCTCCGTTTCGGCTCCCTCTGACGATGGGAACCGGCCCGGGACACGCGCGCCGCGGCCAAGTCCAGGTTTTGATTTCACTGCCGGCTGCGAGAGCGAAGAGTCTCCAAACACAACAAACAGGAAGGAGAGAAGGAGCCGGAGTGCGGGCAGAGGGAGGGTCATTCCCAGCAGAGGCGCAAGGGCCGGGCCGGGCCGGGCCGGGGGCGGGGAGGAAGCAGCGCCCCTTCCCCTCCCGCGCGGCCGGGGGTGGGGGCGCGGGAACAGCGGAGAGTACGGCAGCGGCGGCGGGGGGTGGGGGTGGGGGTGGGGGGCTTGAGGGCGGCTCCGGGGCCGGGCGGAGTGCTCGGGGCGGGGCGGGGGCTCCCTGGACGCTGCCGCCCGCAGCCCCCCTCCCCGCGGCCCCGGGGCGCCCCCGCGGTTCTGGAGCCGGGGCGGGGCTTGCGCGTCAGCTCGGGCTAGAAAAGGCGGCGGGGCCCGGCCCAGCGAGGTGACAGCCGTGCTCGGACAAGGAACCTGGCTCGACGCCGCCATGAGCGCCGCGCTCTTTAGCCTGGACGGCCCGGCGCGCGGCGTGCCCTGGCCCGCGGAGCCCGCACCCTTTTACGAGCCGGGTCGGGCGGGCAAGCCGGGCCGCGGGAGCGAGCCGGGAAGCCTGTCCGAGCCAGGCGCCGCTGCCCCTGCCATGTACGACGACGAGAGCGCCATCGACTTCAGCGCCTACATCGACTCCATGGCCGCCGTGCCCACCCTGGAGCTGTGCCACGACGAGCTCTTCGCCGACCTCTTCAACAGCAACCACAAGGCGGGCGCGGCAGGCGCCGCTGCCAGCGCCCTGGAGCTGCTGCCCGGCGGCCTCGCGCGTGGCCACGGCCCGGGCACAGCTGCCCCGCGTCCGCTCAAGCGCGAGCCCGACTGGGGAGACGGCGACGCGCCCGGCTCGCTGCTGCCGGCGCAGGTGGCCGCGTGCGCGCAGACCGTGGTGAGCCTGGCGGCGGCCGCACAACCCACACCACCCACGTCGCCCGAGCCGCCGCGCTCCAGCCCCGGGCCGAGCCCTGCTCCTGGCCCGGCCCGGGAGAAGAGTGCGGGGAAGAGGGGCCCGGACCGCGGCAGCCCGGAGTACCGGCAGCGGCGCGAGCGCAACAACATCGCGGTGCGTAAGAGCCGTGACAAGGCCAAGCGGCGCAACCAGGAGATGCAGCAGAAGCTGGTGGAGCTGTCGGCCGAAAACGAGAAGCTGCACCAGCGCGTGGAGCAGCTCACGCGGGACCTGGCCGGCCTCCGACAGTTCTTCAAGCAGCTGCCCAGCCCGCCCTTCCTGTCGGCCGCCGGGGCCGCCGACTGCCGGTAACGCGCGCCCCGGGGGCGGAAGAGACTCAACCAACGACCGATACCTCAGACCCGACCGGCCAGGGAGCGGAGCGCGCCCCGCCCGGACGCCGCGAGAGCCGCTCGGCGCCGGCTGCAGTTTCTTTGGGACGCGGGAACGAAGGAACCTACAGCCTGGACTTAACCACCACTGAACTTCGAGAGAAGCTATATGTGTTTATTTTCCCTTAAATTATTTTTATAATGGTAGCTTTTCTACATTTTATTCCTATTGATGCAGCTAAGGTACATTTGTAAGAAAAAAGAGTTTTCAGACAAATCCTTTGTATTGTAGATAAGAGGAGAAGACCGAGCATGCTCACTTTTTTTTATATTAATTTTTACAGTATTTGTAAGAATAAAGAAGCATTTAAAACCACCCGATTCCGGTATTCACAGTGACTCCTGAACGCTGGTTAGCCCCCAGGACCTCGCTGGGGAAGGGCATGCAGCAAGGCACCGGGGAGGCCGCGGGACCCAGGTGTGTGTCCATGAGGGGGAACCAAGGTCCCTAGAAGAGGGGGTCTGCTTTGCTTTTGAAGCCAGACACGGTCTACCTACAAATGTTACTTATCTGCCTAAGATTGGCGAAGCACGACTAAGCTTATGTTAAGCTAGCAGCTTTCTGGTGGAAGGTGCTCCCAAAGAAGTAGCCAGACTCGGGGAGGGGGCTGGCTGGCCGACTGTCCCTGAGCTGATTTAGGGGCTCTATGAAGAAGAGCTGAAGGGCGCCCTAATTTTAGTTGGCTGCTCGAGGGGTGAGGGGGTAGTGGAGGGCTCTGGTTACCCGAAAAGCATGTCTGACTCATCTTTGGCTTTCATGGGACTTTGCTTTCACTTTCCTCAGTCTTAGGTACTGCTTCGAATACGTTTCTCAAAAGTGGGTATTAAGTACACAGTAGTCCTGTTGTAGTAGATGCAAAGGACAGTCAAAAAGCTACTCAAAACCGGCTATCTTGCCAGTCATTGTAATGTTTCAAAGCTGAATCAGGACAAATAAAGTCGTTTGCCTTTCTTCCAGTTAAAGTGGGTACTAGGCACCCTTTCTTGCTCTGGGCTCCTAGGTCTATATTGTGTAATTAACCATGGCCTGTCATGATTGATTTTAAGGGAGGAAACAATCTTCATTGTCTAAAGATAATTTATTCATCATTTTATGTTAATTTAAATCTCTGCCAACAAAGCAAACGATAAGCAATCACTCCTCTTGAATCTGTTATCTTGGCTCTCTGTGCACAGTACCCAGCAAGATTAAACAGGCCTATCTAGAGTGAGCTATCTATACCTCTGTGCAGTATGGTGATAATCACACCGGGTAACTTATCTATACTTTATGGGTAACCGTTCTACCTCTGACACAGTTTCCCAAAACATTTTCCAAAAAATAAATATTAGACTGCAAAATGCTTAAGTTGGACATGTACTGTGTAGAACAGTAACATTACAATTTAGGACAAATGTCTCAGCTTTGCAGGGTATTCTTTGGGACAATGTTGAATAACTACAAGAAAAACATGTTGAATCATGGTAAAATTTAAACACTTAAAAAATTACAAGTGAACGAAATTTTTTTCTTGCTGTTTTAATATTATTGACTAAGATGAAATACAAAATGAAGACCTCAGGCTTATTTAAGTTTTAACAGCATGTTCCTAAATTTGCAAAAACTAGAAAAAATTATTTTTGATGTTTAGTTCACAAAATCATCTTACTAACATTTGACCCAGAAAAATCTAAGTTCCATTTCAAGATCATACATTTGCTCTGCCCATAGTTAACAAATAACTACCCCAAGCCGCCACCACCTCCATCCACCACCATTGTGACTGCATCACAAAGTTCACAAATCCTATGGCAACCGGCAGTGTTCGGAAGAGGCTCTTCCTGCACTCAGGAGCTCAATTTCCTCCAATCCAACGCAGCTAGCTGGGTGGGTGGTTATGGACTGGACAAAACAATTCAACAACCCCACCTCCTTTCCGAGGACACTCTTCACTTCATAACTCTGCAGTGATAGAAGGCATGCTGGTTAAAGCAAACAGAGCTAGTCCTGGACATTCTGTTCCCAAAAACACAGAACACCAAAGAGCAGAGCATAAGGTCCTTTCCTCAGTCTGTGACCTTCCACTTTTCAAATGGTAAGAACAACATGGGTAAGGAGGAAAATAATTAAGGGCTTGATAAAAGCTCTATTTATTATGGCAAATGAAGGAACTCCTTTTTTCTGCTGTTAATGGATGCAACGACAAACGTGTCCCACCTGGCTGTCCTACGGAGAGGAACTGGGGACAGACATACTAAGGGATATGCCCTGTTCTCTAGCAGGAAGGCTGGGGGCTGGGCATGCATCATGCTTGCAGCTGTCTCCCATTTCCTTTGGGACACTTCCCCAATCTAGCAACACTTCTGGTCAAAGGATTTCCTGGTACTTTGCCCCAAACCTCCCTCCTCAGTTAGGATCCCATTTCTTCTAGAGTAACACTGAGCCAAAAATTTCTATGTTGTAAAAAGCTTTTTCTTCACATTGTTTGATGAGTATCTTACGGTGATTGGTTAATCTTGGGCAGGTTTCATCTCTAGATGAGAACTCAGGGCGCTGGGCAGCAGGGGTACCAGATGACTAGGCTAGGAAGGTATGGCAGGGCCTCGGTGGTCTCAAACCTCAGAACATTTTCTTCCTGGGGTGGGGGTGGGGCTGAAAATAAAGAGCAGCTCAAATGCGTGGGGATAAGTCAGATCTGTGGCTTTACCAGAGACCAAAGCCCTAGAGGGTAATGCGTTCTTTCAGAGACTCCTTTGCTGCCACTTGCAGAGTACTATCTGGGGTACCTCACTCTTCTGGGCAAGACACTTAACACATCTCTACAGTAGCTCAGTTCAGTATGTTTTAGCTCACCCGTTCCATCATTAATGTGTCTTGGCAAAGGAGATTGAGGCCGGAGGGCTCCGACAACGCAGCCAAAGTCGGCACATGTCTGTGGCTCCTTGGTGCCCTCCCATCAAAGGTGGGCACCTCACTGCCGTCACCCTGGATCCTGGGCTGGGCTCAGTGACTGCTTCTTATGAAGAGTGTGGTGGAAGGGACACTGAGTGGCATCCCCAGCTTGGTCAGGAAGGTGCCCAGCCTCTGCCTGCCTCTCTTGGGATCCAGACACATGCCCTGAGGGAATCCAGACGGTGTGGCGTCTGGCCTGAGCCCCGGAAGGTCCCAGGCAACAGGAGTACAATAGCCGGCCAGGGACTGAAGGGCGTTCTGTGACTCTAGCCCAGCCGTTGGGGTACCAGCTGATGTCCTGTGGGGCAGAGATGAGTTGTCCTGGCAGAGCCCTATGCAAATTGCAGGTCTGTGTGCAGAGTAAGTGTGGAGGCCACGAAGCTTTGAGATGGTTTGTTCTGAAGCAATATATACCAGGATCAATCTGGGATGTGAGCACTGCTCTAATGCCAAACCACTGTGACCATTTTGCTTTCCTGTCTTTTAAGTTGGGCATGGTGTGAAACACCGAGCATATTCAATATGATTGGTAGAGTTCAGGCTTCTTTAGTAAAAAAAATCAGAGTACGGTCAACAGAGTGGTTTAATGGAGGGATGGGGGAGTAAAAGTCATAATCAAGACAGGTGAAGAGATGGAACTGGACAAGTCTCTTGACTGGACAACCATGGCTGAGACCTTCCTCCGCTTAGCTCATCTGTGACAGATGTCAGGTTCATAGCCCACTGCTTTGATCATTAATCAAGGGCTTGCTATGAACCCATGAGGCGCCTGACCCTGAAAAGATGGCAGAGAACCAGACAGCCACGGGGGTGCTGGTGCGGAAGGCACGCACAGGGCCGTGCAGAGTGAGGGGTTGTTGTCCAGGTCTGGGAGGACTGAGGTAGGCCAGCTGGATACTCCTTTGCTGTCTCTTCCCACTTTAGCTAGCCTTGCACATTTGTGTGTCGGGAAGTAGAAGGCCCAGGCACTCCTACACTCACTTGGGGTAAAAGTACAGAATTCTAACTTGAAAAAAAAGTCAGCAACAGATCATTTCTTTTTACAATGTCAGGTTTCACAGCTAAAGTTTATAATAACTATACCATAGTCAATAATAACTATATCATTTATAAACAAAGATCAAATGATAAATATATTTTGGGGGGAATTAACATGGAAAGGTAAAAAACAATCACACCAGCAAATGCAAACACACTGTTCATATGAATGTAATGAATGTGTAAAACGTGTCTCTATTTTTAAAAGGCACACTATATTTTCCTTTAACTTTTCTTTTTCTGAAAGTAAGGAAACAAACGGCAAATTTCATATTACTGTAATGTGACTTTTGAGAACTGACATGTACAACAGTGGCGAACTCCATTGTTTTCACATCTGTAGCTTGAACACATTAAAGTTATGGCATAAAACTTAACACTCATGTGTCCTAACCAGAAACAGTACATCTGTTCCAGGGAATAGAGTTCTTGTGGAAAGCCTAATTTGATTCTTTGGATTTTGGCCAATGTGCATTCTCACCCAGACAACTGACAGAATCCAGACTGGAAAACTCATGCTCGTGTCTACACCTAGGTCCTTCTTGTACCCATCTTCTATCAGCTTTTTTTTTTTTTTTTAAAGATTTTATTTATTTGGGGCGCCTGGGTGGCTCAGTTGGTTAAGTGACTGCCTTCAGCTCAGGTCATGATCCCGGGGTCCTGGGATCGAGCCCCACGTTGGGCTCCCTGCTCTGCGGGGAGCCTGCTTCTCCCTCTCCCCCTCCCCCTGCTTGTGTTCCCTCTCGCTGTGTCTCTGTCAAATAAATAAATAAAAATTTTTTTTAAAGATTTTATTTTTAATAAATATCTTTTTTTTAAAGATTTTATTTTTAATAAAAATCTTTTTTTAAAGATTTTATTTTTAATAAAAATCTTTTTTTTAAAGATTTTATTTTTAATAAAAATCTTTTTTTTTTTAAGATTTTTATTTATTTGACAGAGAGAGACACAGCGAGAGAGGGAACACAAGCAGGGGGAGGGGGAGAGGGAGAAGCAGGCTCCCCGCAGAGCAGGGAGCCCAACATGGGGCTCGATCCCAGGACCCCGGGATCATGACCCGAGCTGAAGGCAGTCGCTTAACCAACTAAGCCACCCAGGCGCCCTCTTCTATCAGCTTCTTGCAGGTCAGATGTAAAGCCCTGATTATCCACTGTGAGTAAAGCTGGAGGAGGGGGAATGAGTTCTGTCCCTCCAGGTTGCAATTTACCCTAATTTGACTGGCGTCAGCTCTGATAACAGAGCACCCAGAAAGGTGATACCTGAGGCTGTTGCCACCCTGTGCCCTTCACCCAGAGCACATGTGCACACACAGGCACACACTCAGGCACACTCATGTACACATGAGCACACATAGGTGTATACACACATTCAAGCACAACCATGGGCAAACCCACCTACACTCAGATACACATACACACACACGTATGGCTGTACACATGCCCTAGCTCTTTATAAGTAGCGCTTTGCCTACGGGTGTACTGTAGTTAAGAAGTGTAATGTGTGAGAGGTACAAGTCAGCCTCAGTCAGAAGGAAATCAAATGAAGAGGCAGGATTTCTGCCAGGGCCTCCTCCTGGTCTCTGGGTCCCTATAGGGAGTTAGGGTAGTCAAGGGCAGTCCATGGCTGGAGGCTTTCTAGAAGAAGCACCAGTCTGCTCTCCTGGGGAGCCTGTGAGAAACCAGTGGGAGCTCAGGCTTGAGCCTGGTAGGGCCCAGTCAAGGCCACCTGAGGAACTGCAGGGCAGGCCCTGCACTTCTGTGCTGTGTGGGACTACAGGGAGCTAGGCACCATCCCAAGCACTGTTGGTTTTTGTTTGTTTAGGTTGTGCGTTTTGGTTCATTTGCTCTGTGTTCTCCTTAAGCAGGAGTTTTCCCCAACACTTTCCCTCAACCTTTTCCATGGAAATATCTTCCCCTGATAACTTAGATCTGCCATTTTTAGCACCTGTTTAAAGAACCCTCCAAGTCATCAGCCTTACCCAGCATCACGCCCTTCTTTCTTCCTCCTCCCCCACCTCAAAGACAGAGGTGAGGTGACAAGGGATCAGCCAACAGGTACCACTGTCTCATCACACATTAAACATATAAACTTCAGGAAGAATAGAAACATACACAGGAGGACCCTGTCACCCTCCCCCCACTCTGTTAGGTGGTCACTTGTGGGGATAACAATGTACCCAACAGAGACCGTGACCGTGAGCCCTGCATTCTTGTTTCTTTAGTGGTAAAATGTGGATCCTGCACCACTGAGATGTTGGAGAGATTAAATAAGGCAATGTGTGAGAAAAGTGGTGAGCATAGTTCTTAGTCCATTACAGTTATTTACTTACATTTTACTTGTAAACAATCAGGGAACAACTAGCTCATAAACCCTCCTACGGCCTGGTCTACACATCAATCCCTACATGTGAAAGAGCCCTTTAGATAAAGGTTTGGTGCTGGGCTGGGGGTGTCACGGAGTTGCTTTAGGGAACTATGCGCAGGCTGGTGGGCTTTATCCCAGGGACGGAGCCGGAAACTCTTTTTAGAGCTCCACAGGCAGTTCCACCCTGAAATCAGGGTTGGAAACCACAGTCAGACCAGTGATCCTCAAGGATCCTATCCATGGATTTATCCACGTACCCAATGAATCCAAACTTTGAAAGCCATGGTTTTTGAGGACTGAGTGCAAATGGCTGCCCTGCCTCCTCATGCTGCCAGCCCTTCCTAAGGGGCAGAAGTCCCTCACAGCTCCAGAGGATGGATAAATTCAGCCTTGTATTCAGACTGCAATCAGAGGTGGAATTTAACCATGGGACCCCATCAGAAAGTTCTGTAGATTATCAGCCCCCTTTTCACCACAACCTCCCCAGCTGGCCCAAGTCTGCTACTTGGATGTGGACCCTAATACTGGCCATGGATAACTTTTGTGACGTGGGGGCTGTGCCCTGGCATCACCCCAGTGGGGTCAGTTCTCAGTGCTCTTCTCTAGGGTTCAGTTCAGCAGTTCCTGAAGCCACTTGTGGTGCTTTTAATTGGTTTTGACAAGACAGAGGTGACGTCTCAAGGACAGAGCTCTCTTGTTTATGAGGGCCAAATTTCACAAGGAAGAAACTGTCTCTAGACCGTAAGTTATATATATTTAGGTGGTGGTTTTCTTGGAGGAGCACACCACTTTACTAAGCCTCACACCATAGTAACTCTCAGGGAAGGCAAAAGAGTTCTGAGAAATAATGGTCAAGTTTCCAGTTACTCAGACTCTGGAATACCTAGCAATTAAAAAACACAAAATGTGTGTCTCAGATATTTCTGTTCTATTAACATGAATCATGGCAGTAGTACTTGAAATGTTGCTGGTCTAACTATAATCAAAGCCAGGGGGGCATATTCATGTATCTACTACAAGATTGGTTAGGAAATCACCTCGATTCCAAAAAGAAAAGGATCTCATGAACAGACACAGGTATTTGTCAGGGAGTAAGACTTATTATTGACTATGGTATAGTTATTAACCACAGTAAGAGTTATCCTTGTCTTGGTATAGTCTAAACACTTAGCATGCACCCAATGATATTGTGGCACTTTGTTGTAATTGAAAGTACATGGGACAGGGATCTTCACCTGGAGATGATCCACTAACTTGGGGCTTAAGAACACAGGGGTGCACACCTGGGCTGCATGTTCCTGGACTTACCCCATCCTCGCAGGCGGCAAACCTCAGGAGTGAAGAAATACTGGCCTGGGACAGCTGCAATAACAGTGGGGCGGGCTGATTAAACTCCCAGGACTGGGGCAAGAGCTCACGCCCACGCGTAGGGGGGTAATGTTCGATCCCTTCGTTTCTTTAGCAGCTTCCACCTCAGAGCCTTATGTCAAATGTGAGTGTAAGCCCTGGATGTGGAAAGACTGTTCTCCTGAGGGGTGTCCTTCCCATCCCCTCCCCAGGGCAGGAACAACAGATGCTGGCCGCTTGGCTACTGCGGCAGAGCAGTTCCATGAGGTGGAGTAGGATGCACATGAGCTCCTGCACCGCTCCTACCTTGACCCTCACTGTGCACTGGGGTCGAGACGGACAGTCCAGGAACACCTGCAGGTGCCTTCTGAGGAGAGGAGAGGTGACCACACGGGAGCAGTCCCCACAGGAAAAGGTGCCTCTGTTGTTTGGAAACACACAGGGAAGAGAACACTTGAAAAGGCACAAGTCAAAAGAGTCTAGCAGTAGACAGACATTTTTTTCTGAACCTAAGTGTTTGCTGATATAGAAAAGGGGGATTTACTCTCAGAAACCAAGTTCCTGAAATAGGCCAGAAGAAGCTCAGCCTGTTCTGAGGGATCAGCGTCAGCTTCCGGCTAACTGCTGCATGGGCAATTGACGCCCCAGGGGATGGAAGGGACACTCAGGCAGGGAAGCCTCATTCAAGCTGGGCATAGAGGATGACAGCAAACATCCCATGAAGCAAACTGGAGGCCCTCTGCTCAGCAAGGGGAAGTCAGGGCTTCCCATCTGCCTGAACAGGAAAACCTACTTCTAATTACCAGTAGCTATGCTCCTTATTGCTACCAAGTAAACCTGTGATACATACTCTTCTTGTCTCTAGAATGATCCAGTGATGACTTGTTTATACATAAGACCACCAACCCAGGAGGCATCAAGAAAACACCTGTGCTTTGGTTATTAAGAAGCAGAAGAGTAATGAGCATGTCCCTTTCTGTCAGGTAACAAAGTCACCTTGGGAGCCTGGGGAACTGGCTCAGAATGACACTGATACCCAGCCCCAGCTCCCTGAGCCCCAGGGAGGATATGCAGTAACTCTGGTCAGGGAAGGAATGGATGTCTGATTATATAGCTGTTCACTGGTCCCTGGAAAAGTCTGCACCCCTGCAAAAGACAAGCTGTACAGTTACCAAGTTTGTCTCATTTATTCAGGTTTGCCCTGAGTTTTTCTTTTCTCTCCTAACTGATAATAAAGGACCTGAGTACAAAACCTGGCTCTTTTCTCTTTTAAGATGGGAGGAAATGAAAGGACCAGCAAAAATCCCTGTTACAAAGAAGTAAACACACCTAGTGCCATGGCCTCCAAGCGGCAGCACGGGAACTTGGTTTCCCAGTGGCGGCCCTGCCCTAGCAGGGGAAGCTGGCCCGAGGCAGTGCGGCCGTGGGGACCCTTGGACTGGCTGCGGCTGCCCCAGGGTCTTTCAGCCCAGCTCCTGCACCCTCACCTGTCTCCTGGGCTCTGTTCCAATCTCTCGTTGCCACACAGGTCACAAGTGGGCCAGGAGAAAGCAGTGCTCTCGTCTACACCAACCACAGTGCCTAGGCCCAAGAGAAAGCAAAAGCTGGAGTCCAGAGGCAGTGTCTTCCCTCCCAACTTCTCTTTGCCCCTCAAGACATAGATGGCAATGTGAGATTCCTCAGACTTTTTTTTCTCACTTCTGAGTTTATATAAATGTTCCCAAGCTTTTTATAATTTCCATGTACTGCACAAACAAAATTACAACAATAAAAAGTAAGTTTTAAAAGTTGCCCGCATTACTACCCAACCAAGTATTTCCATTGTGCCTCATCTTTTGTCTTTTTTTCCAGATGCACATGTACTGAAATCATTATAAGTAAGCCGTCAGGGCAATGTCTCATTCTACTTTGTAGGTTGCTGTAGAGCTGTTGTAAGGACTGTCTTATCAATATTCCATTTAGGTGATGTGTCACAGTTCCCTCCATACTGGACATGTAAGTCTGAGGCAGTGGACAACTTTCCACATAAGGCCTTTCCTGTAGTGAGATACCTTCCTTAGGATAGATTCCTGGAAGCAGAATCACTCTATCAAGAATATGAGTATTGGAGATGCAGAAACACCCTTTCAGAAGGTGTTTCCCACAAGGACTTTCTTTTTTTTTTTTTTTTTTAAAGATTTTATTTATTTATTTGAGAGAGAGAGAGCACATGAAAGGGGATAGGGTCAGAGGACGAAGCAGACTCCCTGCCGAGCAGGGAGCCCGATGCGGGACTCGATCCAGGGACTCCAGGATCATGACCTGAGCCGAAGGCAGTCACTTAACCAACTGAGCCACCCAGGCGCCCCCACAAGGACTTTCTGATTCACACTTTCACCATCCATTTACAGAGTGCTAGCTTCACTGAGCTGCATGCTAGTATCACCTCAGTATTTGCCTCCTTAATAGGTGTAATGGAATTCCTTATCTCAGTTTCCACTTCTTTAATAAGGAAAGAGAAATATTCTTTTTTTTTTTTTTTTTTTTTAAAGATTTTATTTATTGGGCGCCTGGGTGGCTCAGTCGTTAAGCGTCTGCCTTCGGCTTGGGTCATGATCCCAGGGTCCTGGGATCGAGTCCCACATCGGGCTTCCTGCTTGGCGGGAGGCCTGCTTCTCCCTCTCCTGCGCCCCCTGCTTGTGTTCCTGCTCTCGCTATCTCTCTCGCTGTCAAATAAATAAATAAAATCTTAAAAAAAAAAGATTTTATTTATTTATTTGACAGAGAGATAGAGAGAGAGAACAAGTACGCAGAGAGGCAGGCAGAGGGAGAGGGAGAAGCAGGCTCCCCGCTGAGCAGGGAGCCCAATGCGGGGCTCGATCCCAGGACCCTGGGATCATGACCCGAGCCGAAGGCAGACGCTTAACGACTGAGCCACCCAGGCGCCCCAAGGAAAGAGAAATATTCTTATTGCTTTGTTCACATCTCCTCTTACGTGATTTCTCTGGTTTCCTTATTTCTTTTTTAATTCAACATTTGTGACTTATTTATTCAACAAACAAATATGTATACAATGCTACTTAGTGTGGGATATATGTGTAGCATAAAAAATGTAATGATGAATGCTACAGTCCCTACTCTTGTGAACTCCATAGTCTGGCCAAGATGAACAAATAATGAGAAAAACATCATGAATATGGGAGAAAATATTCACAAAAAAACACATCTGGTAATGGACTGTTACCCAAAATATACAAAGAACTCTTAAAACTCAACAACACAAACAACCCAATTAAAAGATGGGCCTAAGAACTTCATAGATGCCTCACCAAAGATGATATACAGCGTATGAAAGATGTCAAACATCATGTGATTAGGGAAATGCAAATTAAAACAAGGAGAACACCAAAAAAATCCAAACGATGCAATTAAAAATGGGCAGAGGACCTGAATAGACATTTTCCCAAAGAAGACATTTGGCTGGCCAACAGACACATGAAAAGATGCTCAACATCACTCATCATCAAGGAAATACAAATCACAATCACAGTGAGATATCACCTCACCTGTTAAGATGGCTAAAATCAAAAAGATGAGAAAAAACAAGTGTTGGTGAGGATGTGGAAAAAAGGAACCCTAGTGCACTGTTTGTGGGCATGCAAACCGAGGCACCCACTCTGGAAAAGCGTATGGAGGTTCCTCAGAAAATTAAAAATAAATGCCATATAATCCAGTAATTCCCTTACTAGGTATTTACCCAAAGAAAACAAAAACACTAATTTGAAAAGATATATCCATCCTGATGTTTATAGCAACATTATTTACAATAGCTAAATTATGAAAGCAGCCCAAGTGTCCATTCATGGATGAATGGATAAAAAAGATATGGTGTGTGTGTGTGTGTATATATATATATATAACAATGGAATATTATTCAGCCATAAAAAGGAATGAGATCTTGCCATTTGCAACAAAATGGATGGACCTACAGGGTATTATGCTAAGTGAAATACGTTAGAGAAAGACAAATATTATATGATTTCACTCCTATGTGGAATCTAAAAAACAAAACAAATAAACAAAAAGCAGAATCAAACCCATAAATACAGAGAACAAAGTGGTAGTTGTCAGAGGAGGGAGGAGTGGGGGGGATATAGGCTTCCAGTTACGGAATGAATGTAATGAGGATGAAAGCTACAACATAGGGAATATAGTCAATGAACCTGTGGAGCTGTATGTTGACAGATGGTAGCTACATTTGCAGTGAGCATAGCATAACGAATAAAGTTGTCAAGTCATTATGTTGTACACCTGAAACTCATGTAACATTGTATAGCTACTTTGGAAGACATTTTGGCAGTTTCTTATAAAACTAAACATAGTCATACCATATGATCTAGCAATTGCACTTGGTGGTATTTATCCAAAGGAGCTGAAAACTTACATCCACACAAACACCTGTATAAAGATGTTTACAGCAGCTTTATTCTTTTTTTTTTTTTTTTAAAGATTTTATTTATTTATCTGACAGAGAGAGACACAGTAAGAGAGGGAACACAAGCAGGGGGAGTGGCAGAGGGAGAAGCAGGCTTCCTGTGGAGCAGGGAGCCCGATGTGGGGCTTGATCCCAGGACCTCAGACACTTAACGACTGAGCCACCCAGGTGCCCCTATAGCAGCTTTATTCTTAATTGCCAGAACTTAGAAGCAACCATGCTGTCCTTTAGTAGGTGACTGGATGAAATTGGTACCTCCAGACAATGGAATATTATTCAGCACTAAGAAGAAATGAGCTATCAAACCATGAAAAGACATGGAAAGAACTTAATGCACATTGCTTAGTGAAAGAAAACAGTTTGAAAAGGCTATATACTACATGATTCCAACTATACAACATTCTGGAAAAAGCAAAACTATACAGTCAGAAAAAAAGAAAAAACTACACAGACAGTAAAAAGATCAGTGGTTGCCAGGTGTTAAGGGGGAGGGAGGGATGAATAGGTGGAGCAGAGGAATTTTAGGTCAGTGACACCATTCTGTATGATACCATGGATACATGTCATACATTGTCTAACCCCATAGAATGTACAACACCAAGAGTGAACTCTAATGTAAACTCTGGACTTTGGGTGATTATGATGTGACAATGTAGGCTCATCAACTATAACAAATGTACCACCCTGGTGGGGGATGTTGATAGTGGGGGATGCAGTGCATGTGTAGGGTATGGGGAATCTCTTTGCTGTAAACTTAAAACTGTTCTAAAAATAGTCTATTAAAAATTACCATGAAATAAATGCTAAACTGAGAAATGGAAAAGGCCCCTGGAGGTAGAGAAGAGAGGCCCTCTATGCTAGCTTGAGGTCAGGGAATGTTTCCCAAAAGAAGAGACTTGAGGTGGGGCTGCAGGTGGGGTGGAGGGCACAGGCTGACCCTGCACCCTGAAGCAGGGCTGGAGGCCAAAGGGGCATGAAGGAAAGGCAGGTGACATGGCTGTGAGGTTGGGAGACCCAAGTCATCCAGGGTCTTGCTGGGGATTTTAGACCTGGAAGGCATTAGAAGCCAGTGAGGAATTTTAAACAGGAGATTGAGATGGTCTACTTTCTTGAAATGTGAAGCATTATAGATATCATCTAGATATGCTGGCAAATCACAGACCATTCCTGTTGAAAAGTGGTGAAATTAGACATTTGAAAACAAGTAAGATGTGACCTAAGTTTCCAGAAAAATAGAAGACTCATCCCTCCCACTCCTGGAACAAAAAATTTCATTCCCTATTAGAATAAGCATAAAGAGAAAATTTATCTGTAGAGGATAAAACAATTGTTACAACTAAGTAGGCTTGATTTACTAAAACGCATTCATGCAATGCCCACTTGAATGACTTTTTAAAAATGAAAATAATAGATCTTGATTGTCCCAGCTAATTTCATTGTCCTTGCAAATCTAATCAAGATTGAATCAAAGGGATGAAAAGTAAAGTCAATAATGGCTTATAATACAGCCGGAAAGCAGTGTTGACCAATTCACAACAGGCAGAGGCGTAAGTAGGGTCAAGCAGGATGAGCGGCTCCCATTCCACGGGTGGGTGTGCCCAGCAGTACTTAGTGTCTGCTACATGCACTAATAAAAAGAAGACTGCTACCAACTGAAGTTCCTTTTTATCCTAGGATATCTTTGGGTGTTAACTTCATTTACATTTAGATGGGATTAAGCAATTTCCTTCCAGTAGGGAGCTGAAGGGACACAGCTGAAGAAATCTATTTTATCTAGGGTCTACACACCACTGGAAATGCCTTCTGGTAACTCTAAATAAATTCCAAGGGATTACTGGGAAGTGTACTATTAAACTGTTAGTATCTAGAACATTCATTTATATGAACATCAGAAGGAAAAAAAAATTTTGTTAGAGTTTGATGGTTTTGACACCACACTCATCATTTGGCTGCAGTCTGCTATTGAAAGCTTTTACTTTCCTTATTTACAGAAATCTCTTGTAATTAGGCTTGGGAAAGGTATATCACATATTTATTAAAACATCTTTTTAAAAAGGTTTTTTCAAAGGCTCCTTCCTGGGAACTGCAGTCGCTCCTTTCTAGTAGG